AATATAATATTGGTAGGCACAAAATATATCTAAATAGCAAAAAAAAAATTGAATATCATGAACGTTATTTTCGTTATAATATATGAAAATAATTGCGAATATATTTCCTATTAAAAAAGTATTATTATTGTGTAATTTTGTTTTATTTTCTGTTGGAGATATCTAGAAATTTAAAAGAAGTAAATCCGATAAGATCGTACTCCGATTATGACATATTGCGACTGATTGCTCGCTTTTGCTACGCTCTCTTGAGTTCAAACTTCAAAAAAAAAACGACTTTCGTCCCGACGATTTTTTCTGATAATTCATCCGAAACTATTAATTTCGATTCTACTTTATATTTGTACTTTTCATGATTCGCGTTCACCGCAATTAGAGAACGGTACTTTTGAGCGGGTCAATGCATCCGTTCGAGATCGTCGAGCGTGCTCAGAAACAAAGGAGTCAGGTTTCACGCTTTTGCGCCAATGTTTCCGGAATAATGTTTTCGTAGTACATGCATTAACTTTTTACTTCCCTTGACAGGCGGGGTGTTCCACTACTCTACTTGACCCTTTTTACGCAAAAGAATTTTCCTTAGGGGGAATGGAATTTTTTTAAAACGGTGGTAAAAGTTGTTTCATCCATAACAGAATTAGGAATTGCGAAAATATATAGAAAGATTTCGAATTGAGATAAATAAAAGAATTTTTATCGTTTATTTGATTTTTAGTTGAACTTTTAATTTGACGTTTGCTTAGAAAGATATTCAATGTTGGAATTTAACGAGATAGGTTAATCAAATATTTATTAAAGAAAGATGGGCAGGAAATAGGTCAAAGAATGACAGCAGCCCGGGGACATGAATGTCTGGATGCGTCGTAAATTGAAACATAAGATTCTTGTTTCAATCCTCAGGAGCTATTTTCTCTTTAACAAAGAAATTGTTATGTTCTATACTATTATAATCAAAAGAAATATTTTTTAACAATTTTCAAGAAATCGACATATTGATAATTTAATTGTTATTAAAGCAATTAACTCTTTTTATGGAGTTTATCATTAGAATATAACTGCTTAAATTTTTGTGGAACTAGAACTTGAGAAGGAGAAAGAGAAAGAGAGAAAGAGAGAAAGAGAGAGCCACCGAGACCAGACATTAATTAAGCTGCGGTTTAAACTAACTGGTGAAACTGGGTTTAATAGTCTAACGGTCATCGTTAGAAGTATTTTACTTAATTATTTCATCCCGCTATTACGGTTAGACTGCTATTATGACTGGTCGCTATGAAATCACGAGATAAACATCAAGCAGTGTGTAAGCAAATTTATGCCTATGCAAATCATCGAGTCTAATTCGAGCAAATCGTAAATATCGAATCGGACGAAGTTTAACTATCATAACTAGAATACGTTGTACTATCGACATCCCCACGGTACCGAATGGTGCTCTCTTCGTGCTCGTGAACAAACAAAGGTTTTACATTCAAAGGATTTGCGTATCCAGGCTTGAATGCGGCTTATTTAAACAGGTTAACCGGATTAATAGTGTTTGTGTCACTCGCATGATGGTGGACATTATTGAATGCGGTTGCTGTGCACGTTATCGAATAGGACCTGCATTAAGACCGGATAACGTATGCTGGATAAAGAATAGTGCAGTTACGACCCCACCCGCGAGATTCCCGTTAAAGAAGCATTAAGCGATTCCCATCGGGTCGCACATCGGAAGCGATCTCTCGCTTCCGCAATTACGCAATCATGCTTGATTCCATTATCAATCCGTTATTTTGTTGCGTTAGAATATTCCAAGTATACTTGCAATTAGTCCAATATCCATCTTCAGATTCATCTTCTCACCTCCTTATGATGTTATAATAAATTCCCAAAAATGCTCCCATGAAAATTCCTAGATAATTTCTAAATAAAAAGAGAGAGAAAACTGTCTGGATCTGATTGGATTAATTAAAATTCTAGTTGAAAATGAACGAATTCGAATTTTCTGATTAAATCTGCTAGAATTCTGGTTTACAGAAAGAATAATTTTGTTGAAGTGTTAAAAAATTTAGCCAGATATTCAGATCATTGAGATAATTATGTAGGACGCACAGAATCGCGATTGCAAGTATTTAAGCTGCAATTGCACTCAAGGTATTGATATCCGTGTCTTCGATAGTATGGAAAGCACATCAGTCATTCGGAACAGGAATATCCTAGTCAGTAGTCTTGTGCGCGGCAGCGTGGCAGTGCACGTGAATGTGGGTTAGAATGCAGCAGGGTAACCAAGCCACGACGAGCGCAAGCAAGCAGGCAAGCAGCTGACGCGGTAGAATCAATATTCTCACGTGTACGCGTCTACATATAGTACACGCACGGGAACCAACCCGTGTTCGTAAACGACATATATACATGACCTGAGAAAGGTGGCGATCATTAGCAGCAACGACGATCAAAATAATTTGGAGTTTCAGAGTGTGATGTAACCGATATTGGTTTCTTAACGATCACATTACGGATATTAAATATGTGGTAATTAATAATTACTCTTAATTAATAATTACTTGACGATTTCGTAACAAATATTAAAGTTACCGTTTGTATCACCGTGTTACGTAATTATCTTTATTGATCTTTGCCTTTTGACAAATTTCGAATTTACTTTTTTTTCGAAAGAGGTATTTAATTAAGAGATCTTTTTTTCTGATCAATTCTTTGAAGGGAATACTCTTCTATTTATTTGAATGATTTTTAAGAAAGAATATTGGGCTCGATTATCATTGTAATTTTCTGTTTACAATATTTTTACTTCTTCTGTTTATTTCAAGTTTTTTTTTATTATTTTAAGCTTTCAAAAAAATGTGAAAAAACTTTAAAGTTATTATACTTTTTAACATCTCTATTACAGTACCAAATAGTTTTTACATTAAGTCCTTCTCTTTATTTCGGAAAAATTTGAAATTTCGCTTGTATTAAAAAAGATTCAAATTGTAGACGGGAAATTAAATTGATGATAAAAACAAATACATGTCTATTATATCTTTTCAACTTTTATATTTCTGGGAACGCGTTATCAATTCGAAGTACATAATTATCGACATTTATACAAAAAGAAATGGATGTGCTAATATTATTAACTTATTTCGAACATATGTTGAAATGAATTAATTTCACTCGGCTTTACGCGAATTATTTTTATCTATCGGACAATGACGGAAGTCATTGGAATTTGCTTTACGATAAAAGATTTATCAATTTTTTTTTACGGGAAACGCGTTCATCGAAATACGCCGCGTTCGATGTACTGGCCATCGAGATAAGAAATCGCAATCTTTTCTCACCCTACTCGAGCAAGTAAATAAAAAATATCATATCCTTCGCGATAATCGCTATCGTTCTTCTGCAATTAAGTTGACTACTCACAATTAGATAACTTTGTCTCCGACGTTTTTTTTTATATCAATATATGTTCTTGTAATATATTATTTAAATATTCTTCATTAAAACTTAATAAAATTTTTCTCTTTTTAAAAAATTGAGTCGACGAAAAACTGGATCTTTTTATAGATATCTTTTCGTTACATCGAAAAAACAATTTTACTAAAGTATATAAAAATTTAGCTATAGATACAGATTCACATACAGAAAATAATTTCATTAGACCAAAATAATTATGAATGTTTAAGCTCTTAAAATGCGAAAGCTTTTTGCAGGATTGCTCATTATACTTGAGCGTCCTATACAATTATTTTGATATAGTTCAACAAATTGTTTTCAGATCCGTATCTATCTATTTTTAAACATTTCAGCAAAATCATTCATGCAATTATGAATTAACTCCTATTCAGCACTCAAGTTCGTTCAATGTATTTTATGAATATTATCAAACGCAACATTGTACAATTATTTTTAGCTGGTGTCGCAGAAAGCAAATTTTTAAACACAATACAATTATCGAAAAATCAAGTAATTTTTCAGGTGTATATTTTCCTTTTTAAAAATGTGCGATGTCAATTCATAATCATAATGCAATATAATTTTTCAATTAATACTCGTTGTTTCTATAGCATGAAACATGTTTATCTATCTAATTTGTCCGCATTTATCTATCGCGACTCGGATAATTGCCTTTCATTGGAGATGACTGATCGATGAGATTCTCGGCACACCCGCTCGCCATCGGAGTCGCTAATTTTTAGAAAGCGCGAATCGAAGCGGGCCCTTCACGTTTGACCTCTTTCGCGACTCGCGTTCGGCTCCCCGCGATAAATCACGCCTCGACCGCCGCGCCGACCGTGTGTACCGGATCCGCGGCGCTTACTTTCAAATCTCGCGGTCAGCCCAGGAGAAAAGAGAGAGAAGGGCAGAGAAACGAAGGAGGACGCACAAAGGGGAAACTCGTCTTGACGGAAGAAAGTCCCCGAGCGGGTTTGGTTCGACGGCGAACGCCTGGATGCGTTTATCGGACCTCGCGCCATCGCGCGCGCAGTATAGATGTCCGCTCGTCCGCGCGCCACCATTGGACCATGACCGATGACAGTGGGGAACGAAAACGCGAAGCGATTGGTAGTCGCGCGTCGGCGCCGACGGAAGCGACCGCGAGAGGGTCGCTCGCGAGAGACCAGGTTCCGCATCGGCGCTCAGACGGTCGAGAACCATGCACCCTGTCGCGTCATCGTCTCGCGAATAAGCTTTCGTTTACCGCGATCCGAAACTGTCATTCGAGCTCTTCGTTCCTTTTGATCAACGCAAAAAGAAACTGAATCCTAAGTACTCATAGATACATTGGAGTTGAACGAGCGCGGCATTGAATTTGTGACACGTGACTGTGTGCGCGGAAGCTTGTAAAGAACGTGACCTATTCGTTAAAAGAGAGGGAAGGAGAGGTGGAAGAGAGGAAGATCAGACGCAGATCAGGTGACAGGAGTCCATCGTACATTCGGGCCTCTTCGTCATCCTTCGGGGACGAATCTCCCTCTTTTCTCTGCGCCCTGTGCCAAAGAAGAAATCGGAGTAGTCGCCGCTTGGCACTTCCGCGGTCTGTTTCGGACATTCTCGGTCCTCTCGCTTTCTACGAGTATCTAACGCGGTAGGATTCTCTCTCTCTCTCTCTCTCTCTCTCTCTCTCTCTCTTGTTATTCGGTAAGATTTACGGGAGATGAGGTGACTTTCGGTATCGAACGGAAAGAACACGGTGTGTATTGTGTGGTGGCGCGCGCGCGTGTTTTGAGAGAGGAAGAAAGAGAGAGAAAACGTCTCCGGAACGTGTGCATCTTCGAAAGTAGCTCGGATACAGTTCGAGGTGTGCGAAAGTTATTTCGACGCGAGTGCGCCATTTGACACTGACTGCACCGCGGGAAGCGCTAAAATTGGATATCTCTACCGCGCCGAGTTCGCACAGCTGACCGCGGGGTCGAACCGGACGATGCGCCTCGTCGTGAGATTACCCTGCAAGCGATAACGACGAAGGTAAGATGAGTCTTTCTCTCTCTCTCTCTCTCTCTCTCTCTCTCTCTCTCTCTTTCTCCATCGCGTTTCTCTCGTGTCAGGTAAATACCGCAGGTTTTGATGACGTTAATTAGAGGCGACCACCGAAATGTTGAGCGCTTCACTTGCGCAAAGTGAAACGCGTTTGGCGTGGATATTTACACCTGAAGGACTCTATTTTGGTTCGCTGAATATCGATCTTTGTGTACACTGGCATCGACACTTTATTACACTTGATACACGCACTCGTTTGTGTAAATATTTTATCTGTGGGGAAGACATTGAAATATTGTTTCTTGAAAGGAGTCGTATAAGTTCTCTTCAATTAATTTATATACCTTAATTTATATACCTTAATTAGCTTTTGCTTTAATAGATTATGTACTTTGCTGGACCCTTCTCTGAATAATTTGATATTAATATAATTATTTGATATTAATACTTTTGAGGCTTTATTTTGAGATTCTTACACTATATTGTGAAATAATTCCACTTTGGAATTCTTACATATTCTCAATTAATTTTCATGACTAATAATGTTTCATTGTGATACTCATAGTACTTAGATAAATAATATTAATACTGTTTTTCAAATAACATTTCTAATTCGAATTTTTTAAGTTCTTCATTTAAAGATAATTTGTTTTTTAAAGATATTTAATCGCGTTATTTATCAAGTTCGCATAATTTACTATTTAAGTTGTTCATTTAATAACTTGTTATAGAAAATAATTCTTACTAATATAGACCATTATCTTCAATTTTTTATCAGAGCTCTTAATAATTTTGTCTCTCGTTAGAATTCCTAGTTTAGTTAACGCGGATGCGATCATATCGACATTATCGCACTTATTCTCACGTTTATTATAGAAAAAAATGTGGCACATTTCACGAAGTCAATTTCCGTGCGTGTACATGGAAAAGCTAATGCACCTATGTATGTATTATGCATCTCGGTTCTGCATAACGACGCAACGGTTCCGAGTGACGTAAGATATTTCTGCTTATGGCAAGATAGAAAAGAAATACCTGACGGCGCTAATGTTATTCGTTAAAGTTTCTAATGAGTATGAGAGAAGTGTGTACTCCTTCCTAGCTATTGTGTAAACATTCAAAGACGAACACGCATGTTGTTCGTAGATTCTTGAAGGTAGATCAAATCCATAGATACTGCGATTATGTATGTTACTCCGTTATGCGAACTACATTCCAATGAACGAAGTATGACGATAAATCTTATAAAATGCACATGTGTCTTCTTTGAGAATATAATACAATTAGCGACAACTTATTATTGCTAATAGTAATGATAATTTTTTAAGATAAAATTATTACGTGAGCGAACACGGAAATTATTCTAAATAGACAAGAAGCTTACGTTGTATTTTATTATTATTCTATCTATTAGGAATATCGGAATATCGGAAATTGATTGATCAAAAATCTTACGATAAAAACTATTCTATTTATGCAATGCAATCCAGTAAATTGATATCGAATTGATTTCTTATTTCTTGTTATAGAAAAAAAATAATATAGACTTGAATCACGTCGATTTCTTACAAAGAAAACGTACATTCTAATTCGGTCACGAAATATGAATTTTCACGATTCAATCGTCAGTCTGTTTATCTCGGCTTCGCGCCAAGATCTCATACGCTTTCGATTTACAAAATATGTATGACTTGTGATCATCATGTGTTCTGATTTCTCTCTCGGGGGACATCGGTTTCACTCCCTCGCGATACGCGCTTTCCCAACAGAATGATTACCGAACAAACGTCGCGCATTCTTTGCAATTATTATCATCGCGAGGAAAAACATGATGCGAACCGCATTGGACTTTCTCGAACTTTGAAACATTTTCTCGCGAATACATCATCAATAAAAAAAATGTTAACGTTATCTAGTCGAATTTTTAATTCTGCATTGAAAGATATACCTACTAAATTTTAAGAAATCATTTGAATAATACCAACTGAATATTTATTAAATATAACGATATTTGTACAAGAATCGTTAATTTGATTTAATTATCATTTCTTTTCATTGAATCAGTAAATATTTATTTACTGTAAATAAATTTTTTAATTGGCATTATTCAATTAAATATTTATTAAAATTAATAATATTTTTTTCTTAACATTTAGTAGTAGTAGTAAAGCAATTTTTATTTGTAAAAGGTTATTAGAAATGTTGTCACAACACGGACATGCATAATGCAGAAGATTTGTTATGGTTAACTTGAAGGAATTCAAGAGGCATCAATTTAAGAGAATATGTTTCTTCCTATTGTACGCAACAAATAAATGAATATTTCTTGAAATTTTGCAGATTTCATTGAAATTTGACTCTAAGTTTTATTAATTCCTGGATGATGAATCGCGTCGTGAACCGTTGCAAAACGCAGGTCACGCACTCGATGATTATGAAGCGGGCATTATCCTCGATCGGGATCGGCATACGTTCCTTTCTACTGTGCCAGTCGGTGGGAATTGCTGCTTCGAGATTTTAAAGCCGTTGCTACAGAGGTTCCCAAATTGTTCCGACTTCAAGTTTTTTTTTATGTTGCTATCAAATTTTAAAATTACATATATTAAATTTTGTTATAAACATATTTACAATTATTCAAGAAAAGATCTTATTTATTACAATCGAACTTTTTCAGAAAGTAAATTAATTTGAATTATGATTTTAAGACATAAATAATACATTTATGTTATATATATTTTATCTAAATAAATATGTACATTGAATTTTTTTCTAATTTTTAATTGAAAAATGTATATTAAAATTTTCCATTTTTCTTTTAACATTTTTTGTGGCGTTAGTTTGAGAACCAATGCGTTGCTAGGTGAAAGATCACAATACGAGCGGTCGAGCCAGCGAGCGAGCGAGTAGTCGAGTGACTCAGAGTCCGAGTATCCGTGGCACAGAAACTCGTGACGGCCATTGTGATCACCTTTCTTTCATCGAGTTTCACAATCTGCTCATGGAATTCGTAATATCGACCGTGACGTATGAGAGTTTGGCGTTGCATTGTTAAAAACGAGACAGTTCTCGTTAATATAAGAGATCGTTCATGCTTAATGTTGCTACCGATTCAGGGTATTGATGTGAGTGGGTAACGTGGGTGACGTGAGTAGCCTCCCGCAGGGATGACTGATCTGCGTGATCATTTAGACTCAGCGAATCTATATCTAAACTCAATATACTTCATATACATTCATTCACTCCATATACTTGTACTTGTACTCTTGTGGATGATAATGCAATAAACATTAGAGGAAAATTCATAGATACACAGTTGAAAAATTTGTGTTAAATTTAACACAAAAATATGTAGTATAGGAAGCAATACAAATATTATGTAAAAAATTAATATAAAAAACATAATACTGATAAAATTTGTAAGCAATTTTATTTTTTCATAAAAAATAATATTTAAGTATCTAGATATAGAATATAATATTTATATATGCAATTATTATTTAAACCGCTTTATTTTTTCTTTGAACTATTTTTCTTATTTTATATTATGTGACAAATTTAGACTTTTTGTTTTAAATCTAAAAGTTGAGTATTGATTTTCTGTGAAAAGTGAAATAAACTAAGAAAATCTCTATAAAAACCCCAAGTAAGATTTACTCCAATTTTTTAAATCTTTCTTCTAATAACATATCATCTCGAATGTTGATGTGCATTTCTGTTTTAGACATTTGATTCTCCTTTCATATTCTTTGTTATACAGTGTCTCCCAAAGTATCTCGACCTAAATAACAATTCTGATCCGAAAAAGAGAGCACGATAAGAATGACGGCAAAAGATCTGCTTGGATCTCATCCCTCGTACAAGCTCTGATGTTTTTTTCCATGCACGCAGGTTACGTTTGACCCAAATACGAAATTGTGCCTGTCTTGCTGCCGGAAGTTACAACGATATCGCTATCGGGGAGATGTCGTCGTGACGGTATAAAAGACAGGGATATCGATAACGTTGCTGTCAAGCTACTGCAAGTAACGTGGCGTGAGTGCCACTTCCATTTTCGCTGGGAGTAAGTTGGCTTTTTCGGGGTGCGTGCGTAACGAAACAATGAATCCTTGATAGCACAGGCTTGATTCCTAGATATCATCACTATATGCAATGGGCATGACAAATGTAAATGTATAAATGTATGATAGGGTACAGCGCTATAAGGAGATCAGTTTGTATCCAGCATGTACGAAATTATAAGATATATAGAGAAATTGATGGCTGAATGTAGCAATTATTGTTTGTGTAAAAAAAATGAAAATATTAGAATATTGTCAAAAAATAATTTTATTAATTTCTCTGTTAAATGTATTAAACGACGCAAAGAAAGAAGACATTCTTTAATTTGCTTTACTCTTTAACAGAATGATTTTATAAATGGCAATTTATTGATTTTTTAGAGCTTTATTTACTCTTTCTAAAATAGAGTTTTGCTTAACGAGAAATAATTTCGATAAAGTATTCATAATCTTTTTTGTGCCTCTAATTTCGAGTCTGAGACAGGTTGAATATAAAGAGTTCTAAATTAGAGTGAACCAAGCCTATAATTTCAAGATTTACTTTGGATGAGATTTTGCATACTTAAAATGGATCGTACACACAAATTATGGACTTAATCTCCGGTCAGAGTATAAATGCCTCATACATAAAGTATCGCGTGAAAATGATGAACCAATAAATCAAGTAAATGTTTTGCAAAATATTAGCATACATATATCCGAAATATATAGACTGTAAAAGCTGTCAGTGATTATTTCTGAATAGAGAGCCAGTTTGATATGTATTCTCAAATATTTAAAAAAGAAATTTTATGTGAAGAAGATTGGAAATCACCTGGACTATTTTTCGCGAAATGCTGCATGATGATTTCCGAGAAAATATTTTCTGAGACGACCGATATGAAGTCCGTGAATCAACAGCGCTCGATGCAATTTTATAGGAATAACTTC